AAGAAGAGGAAGAGGAAGAGGAAGAAGAGGAATAATAATAAGAAGAATAAGGAGGAGGAGGAGGTGGATGCCCGGCGGCTGCCCACGCTGCGCCAGAGAAAACAGACACAGACGCCCTCCATCGGATCTGTTCCTGGGCCCCCAGGGGAGGGCGGCGGTGTGCAAATCGCTGCGCATTGAGAGCCAGCGACTTTGTACAGACGGGGAGGTGCATGCCAGATTCGTCGGAGGGGTGTCTTTGCACTCAGAGCTGGCCCAGGCCTCGGGGATCGGGGGCGCCCCTGGGAGAGCGCCGCCAGAGAGAAGGGGGGCGGCCACGAGCCTGAGGCAGATCCCCACTTGTCCCTGTGCTTGGCCTCGCCCGATCTTGCTGCCGATCCTTGGGGATTCTCTTTCCGTGTCCGAGGGCGCATCCCTGAGGTTGTTGCCGCCTTAAGGCACGTCAACCCCATGGATAGGGATGGGCTCGAGGCTGGTTGCGGGGGAGAGGCCCGCGGCCAAGCCTGTCCCCGACGTCCTCGCGCCGTGGAAACATGTATAGCGAAGCGGGCGCTTTTGTTTGGCCGTGCTTGGAGCCCAGGCTCCCCCCCCCGCGGGGCCCCGGGACCGTCGGGTGCAGGTTTGGGACGGAACGCTTGCCCTGGGCAGAGAATCGGGAAGTCGAAGGACCCCGTCGACTACATGTAAGAGTGATCCTTCGTCGGGAACTGGAGCATCCACATCACCATTGGCGGGCTCTTTTCAATCCCAGGACTTTTTGAGGGTCGGGGACGACGTCGGGGTGGTGTGGTGTACACTATTTTGTTCTCCGCTTTCCGGGGGAAACAACGAAGAATGTGTACACCAGGATTCCTTCTACGCCAGGATCCGCTTTCCTGTCCGAATTTCAGTGCGGGGCCAGAGAAAGCGCCGGTGTATAGAAGTCGGCTCCTTACTTCGCCGGACTGACCTTTTGGTGCGGGCCCACTGGGGTCCCCTGAAGGCCGCGTGGGGTGCGACGACAGTAGCATCTCGCGCGCTTGTGGTGTTGGCCTCCTCGCGCCCCCCGCAAAGCCGCGCTCCAAAGGTCGTTCTTGCCCAGGGTCACTCTTACGTGCAGCCGACCCCGTCCTGTCTGAAGTGCTTTTATATTCGCGGGCGGCCCCTCCAGTTTCGTGACCCACTCCTGGCTCCGCTTTCTCCCCCTTCAGTCGTCCAACTCTGCTTTACGCGTGTGCGTCGATCCGCCACGGATGCCGGAACATGCGGACAGCACTGACCAGTAACACACACACACACGACATGTGCTTGAGTTCGACCGCCCCCCCTTGCGAGGACCTTGGCGCAACCAGCGAGGCCTCGCGCTGGGACTGCTTGGCACTGACGTACACGAAGGTCCGGGATCTGCGATATCACCGCCTGCGGTAGTGCTGAGGGCGGAGTGCGATGATGTGTTCGTGCCCCCCCGCCTCTGCCCTTCCCCTTCTCCCCCTCCTGCCCCCCCTCCCACTTCTCCCCTGCCCTCGCCTTCCCTCCCTCCTCCTCCCTGCCAAGCCTGCCCCTGCCCTTCCCCTCTCCTTGTCCACGTCATCGTCCTATCCCTTCCTCCTTCCTTGTTCCTATCCCTCGTGTTCCTCTCCTCCCCTTTGTCCATGCCTCCTTCCCTTCTCGTCATCAACCTCCTCCACCACCTCCTTCTCCTCTTTCCTTCTCGTTTTGCCCTCGGCCTCCTCTTCGTTCGTCCTGCCCTTCCTTTTCGTCTTCCCCCCTCCCCCTCAGCTCAGGTCCGCTGCGGCCCCAAGAGAAGCCTAAGCCGAACCATGAGCATTGCTTTCTGGTGTGGCGCTCGTGGCGACTGGGAACAGAGGTGCAGGTGGTGGTGATGGTAGTGGTGGTGGTGACGTGCCAGCGCAGCAATGGCATCGTGGCGTGAGTAATTCAAGACGCTCTTATAGGAGCACCTTCCACGGCTGCTCGTCCAGCGTTTTTCGTGCGCCCAGGCGCTTTGGGGGGTTCGTCCTTTATTTTGCGTTCCTTCTGGTCGTAGCTTCACTATGCCCGTCTTGCGGCGCTGCGGCATTGCGTGATCGCGACATTGCCGAGCGACGGCGCCGCGGAATTTCGCCTGAGGAGCTGGGTTGTGCGCGCCCGCTCGTCGACCTGGCGAGTATAAACTCTCTTCCAGTGGATGTCTTCGTATTCCTTCCCCTCCGCGTCCCGTCCAGTGAAAAGGGAGGTGACACTGGAGGGTATGAGTACTTCGCTGCGTGAAGGGTCCAACTGCAGGAGAGGAGATGACACGAGCATGAATATTGAAGATGTCGTGGATGCGGTGACCTCATGGCATTGCGCATGCTCCCAACCGCAATCGCCAGTCCTAGCGCCTACTGCTGTTTATGCCGTTGCTGTGACGGAGGTGGTGATGACAACCGTCGTGACGACGCCAATGATGTGGGAATTGCCTGGCATGGTCCATGTCGATCCGATCGATCCGACCCCGTGTCGGCTTCGGCAATTTCTATTCGATTCGATTCCGATATGCAGACGACTTGACGCAGCCCGATGCTTGCATGGTGCCAGGCGCGGCCGATCCGATTCGATCCCGACTCCGTGCTGGTGTGACGCGATCCGACACACAAGTTTCGAATTGATCCGCTTTCCCGATTCGATGCTCGTGGTTCTTGTTTGGATTGAGAAGGAGTGGGTGACAAGTGTGAGGGGACGCGGCCCTTGTGTCGGCGGGTGCAGGGGCGGGGTGTGAGCGCGGCGATTGGCAGCGCTGTGGGATCGCGTGGGGCGGGGTGGCGTGGCAGGTCTACGTCTCTGTGGTGCTGGCAGCGCTCGCCGCCGTGGGCGCCACGGGCAGAAGGGAGGGGAGGGGAGGGCAGGGAGTGCGAGGGAGGGAGGGCCGGGAGTCGGAACTCGCGGAACAGACTTCGATCTCGACATGCATTTTCGGAGGTCCGCGCCGATGGCTCGGATCGGGGATGGAGCCCCCTGGCGGCGCCTCCGGCGCCGCCTCTGACACCGATGCCTCCTCCCTCTCCTCCTCCTCCTCCTCCTCCTCCTCCTCCTCCTCCTCCTCCTCCTCCTCCTCCTCCTCCTCCACTCCTTTCCCTTATAATTAGCTTCTCCATGTCGCACCCCGAGGCCATTTTTTGGGGCGGGCCGGGCGTTTCGCCTGAGACTTCCTCACCATTTATGATTACACAGTGGCAACAGTTTCACGGATGGAGGGCGGGCGGTTTTCAAAATGTGGCTCTCGCCTTAGCGCCGCGCACATTCATTTTACACATTTGCAAGAGCTTCACGGATTGAGGGCGTATGATTTTCAATATGTGGCTCTCGCCTTAACGCCGCGCGCATGGTTTTATCAAAATTCCAAGAGTGCTACTGATTGATAGCGGATGGTTCTCAACATGTGAGCGCCGCCCCCCTTTTATTTTTCAAAAAAAATCCAGAGCTTCATGGATTGAGGGTGGTTCCTTTTCAAAATGTGGCTCTCGCCTCAGCGCCGTGTACATTCGTTTTAAGCATGTGCAGAACGTTTCACGGACTAAGGGCTGGCCCTTTTTAAAATGTGGCTCTCGCCTCAGCGCCGCGCACATACTCGTTTTAAACATTTGCTAAAATGAGAATTTCACGTATTCCCATGGTTAACGTTCCAGGAATGGTTTTTAGGAAGGATTCAGGATTATGCGGGTGCAACACAGTTATGTTGATTCGCTGTGTTGAAGTCCCCAAACCGGCGTTATGGCACGATTCCGGATCGTCAAGACGCAGCAGTCACGTTGATCCGTGGCGTTGAAATCCCGAGAACAAGGTTTTGGCATGCTTCAGAGTCTTCAAACGGTTGTCTTCCAACGAGGCAGTTCCCTCAATGGAAATGAACCGTTGTAGGGGCCTATGAAGAGGGAGCTTGGAGGGAGGGTCAATTCCGACATCGTTGGTGACTATTGGGTTTACACTGGTCCTCCTCCTCCTCCGGACGCGAGGCTCATCTGCACAGGCTATGTTTCCGTTATTCTGCGTCGCTGCTGGCGGGGGGACAGCCGTGCCTGCAGCGCGGCGGCGGATAAGTGTGGGCGGCAGACAGAGAGAGAGAGAGAGAGAGAGAAAGAGAGACGGTCGCACTCGCCGCGGACGCTGTTCAGCGGCCGCTTGGGTAGTTGAAGCCGCTATCTTTCCGGACGGCCACTGTCACGCATTTCTTATGGCATTCAGCGGCATATAGTTCGATTACCCTGTCTCTACTTTCACCGCCGAGGCCGTCGCCTTAGACGACGTTGTCTCCTTCGTTTCGCGCCCTATTCGTAGATCGACACGTACCAAGCGGGCGCGCGTATAGCCGTCCACCACCCCTCTTTCCTAGTTCTAGGCCTGTCTCCGTGGTGGCCGAGGGCGTCAGCAAGAAAGAGAGAGAGAGAGAGAAATAAAGAGAGCGCATTTATGTAGGAGCACCTGATCTCGAACAAGGAAAAGCGGCATAAGCATAAAGAGTTGACTCTCCGCGCGGATTTCGTGGATCTGCGCTGGAGCGCCTTTGGAGGTGCCTCTGGCGCTGCCCCTGGCGCGCTCCGCGCGCCAGGGAGGGGGGTCCAGCGCAGATCCAAGAAATTTGCGAAGAGCGCCTGCAGTTTATGCTCATGCCGTTTTTTCTTTTTCTATGGACGTGTATTTGCACTTCAACCTGTGTGTTTTCAGCGTGTTTTGTTCTGCCTCCCTTCTCGCGCTGTTTGCCATTCCAATGCGTATGCCTGCCCTCGTTTTCCCTTTCCGTTCCCCGTTTCCCCCAATCCCGCCCCCCTCCCTCCCTCCTTTCCTCCCTCCCTCCCTCCCTCTCTCCACCCTCCGTCGTTCACCCCGTCCCCTGTCCGCCCCCGCTTCGCCCTTCCTCCCTCCCTCCCTCCCTCTCCCCCCTTCCCGCCGCTCCCTCTTCTCCCAGGTCAGTACACGCCGCCGCTCTGCGACCGCGTTGGAGGGCGGCAGCTGGCAAACACGCGTCGATGTCGCCTTCGGCCCGAGGCAGGCCGGCGTTCCGCGGAGTGGCCTACCGACCGACCTACCTACCTACCTTCCTAGGTTAGTATACGGTGGCCGTCAGGCCCCGCAATATTTGTCGCGGACACCGAAGAGGTCGGCGAAGGATGGCGGACCAGCGTTGTGGAGCAGCCCGCGAGAGCCAGCGCCGACATACCGAGGTCAGGATCGTGAATGTGCAGAGATCGTCGTCCTCACGGTGGTATCATGCAGAGGAGGAGGAGGAGGAGGAGGAGGAGGAGGCGGAGGCGGAGGCGGAGGCGGAGGAGGAGGAGGATGAGGAGGAGGAGGAAGAGGAGGAGGATGAGGAAGAAATCTGTAGGGCCGTGAGGTCGTTGATCGTCATATTCCTTCTTGCGCGATTGCTGGCAGCGTGTACGCTGACACCCTCACGGCCGTCGCGGCGAAGGCGGCGCGTGTGCCTGAGCATCATCGTGCACAGGTCCATCGGCCAGACTCAATTGAGGAAGTTGGCTGGTCCCTGCCAGGGAACACCTTCGACGTTAAGAGGGAGATGTTTGGCCGAAGGTGCCCAGCAAGGTTGAACAGGTAGCCAGGGCTTAATTATATCTCGGATTCACTTTCCGACCGCTCTCGTCTTATCACCTCTCCCTCCTCTTCTCCCTTTTTTCCCTCCACCCGCTCCTCCTTCCCTCCTCCCCAGACGTCTGCCGATATATATATATATATATATATATATATATTATATATATATATATATATATATATATGTTTCGATCCGCGGCTCCGGATGTCCCGACCCCTTCCCCGCGGAATGGTTTTTCGTCCCGGATCCATGTCCGACGGTCCCCTGGAGCCCGATCACGGGCCCCGGGGGGCCGAAGTCCGGGAAACACCGCCAGATTGAAAAAATCATGCCTTCGTATCTCTGGGTCCCTCCCTCCCTCCCCCCATCCCCCCCCCCTCGCCGCCGCCGCCGCCGCAGGCGCCTCTGCGCGCCCCGCCCGCATCCTCTGCATCGGGCTCGGCGGCGGCTCGGTGCCCCGAGCGCCGCAGCGCCAGCCGGAGCTTGCGGGGAGGCGGGTCGCTCCAGGGGTTCTGGGGCCGGAAGGGTGAGGGAGGAGGAGGAAGGGGGGGAGGATGAGGCTGATGACGATGTTCTTGATGATTCATGATTGTGGTGGTGATGATGGGTATGATGATGGTGTTGCTGCTGATGCAGATCGTGCTGATGATGCTGGTGCTGATGATGATGATAATGATGGTGATAGTGCTGGTGTTGGTGCTCGTGGTGATGATTATGATGAAGCTGATGCTGATGACGATCATGATGATGATGATGATGATGATGATGATGATGATGATGATGATGACGATGATGATGATGATGATGATGATGATGATGGTGACGATGAGGCTGATGATGATGGTGGTGATGACGATGAGAGGGATGATGATGATGCTGATGATCTGCAGGATGAGGATGATAAGGAGGAGGCGAGGGAGGAGAGGGATGATGATGATGATGATGACGATGATGATGATGATGATGGTGATGAAGATGATGATGATGATGATGATGATGATGATGATGATGATGATGGTGATGATGATGATGATGCTGATGATGATGCTGATGATGATGCTGATGATGATGATGCTGATGATGATGATGATGATGATGATGATGATGATGATGAGGAGGAGGAGGAGGAGGAGGATCATGGTTATGATACTGGTCAGGGAGGGGGAGAGGGCTGTCAAGACAAGCGCTGGGCATGCTACGGGGTTCTCGGTACTTTCAAGGGGGTCATGGCTTCTGGGGCTAGGAGAGGGGCAGAAGGAGAGGGAGAGGCAGGAGACAAAGGATGGCTTGCGGCAGTTCGAAGGGGCCTCGGGGGGTGGAGTTCGGGGGAGTTCGGTCTGGAGGGTGAGGACGCATGCCCCGATCCTGGAGGCAAGGTGAGTCTGGCTAGGTACTCCAGTTTGCTCAATATGCATCCTCACATGTTACCCGCCCGCGCGTTCCGGCGCCCCCACGCCCACCAAATCCACCTCTTTGAGCGACTCGTGCACGCCCACTCGATCCACCACCCCAACGCTTCTCGAACAGCGCCGCGAAGTCGCGTTCACGGGTGCCTCCTGCCCTGAGGCAGCCGCTGAGGTGCCCCGACGGGTGCGCCCGCTTCGGTCCCCGGCGGCTCTTGCGGGGCCGGCGGCCCGGACGCCGGGAGCGCTCGGGCTTCCCTCCTCCGTCACCCGGGCGATGGCTCACCATGTTTTTGCAAAGCCACGGGGGCTTGTTTTCCACCATCACCACCATGAGTAGGAGGAGGAGGGGGTCCTCCTCCTCCTCTTCTTCTTCCTCCTCCTCCTCCTCCACATCCTTCCCCCCTCCAACTTATGGTGGTGGTGGTGGAAAACAGGCCCATCAAAAGCCACGGGGCCGTAGCCGGGCTAACGGTGTGCTGCGCAGCGGCGTGGGAGGTTTCGGCACTGTGGGTGGGACTGGCCCGTGGCCACACCAGTGGCAGGGCCCCGTGGCCCGTGCTTTCCTGCGACTCCTTCTGTCCTCTTCGCTCGATGCATCAGCAGATCTGAACTGTATCAACGCATTGCTCGTGAGTTCCTGCATTTGTGTCTGCGCGCGCTCGGTTTCACCAAAAAATCGAGATTCCCTGCCACATCGTGAACCTACAAGGCCTTTCGCCCGGCCTCGGGAGGAGCAGCTGTCGATGCCGCTGCCCTCACTCGTCGCCACGGCCGGATTCGCTTCGACGTCCTGGTCGGGACGCGCCGCAGGAGGGCTCCTCGGGGAGCAGCGATGTCGGTGCCTCTCTGTTCTCCCACGACTGGCCCAGCACAGCGGTGCAGCCGCAGCCCATGAAAGGCCGGACCGCTTGTTGATCAGGCTGCCGCCTGGGGGCTGCGCTTTTGCACTGCAGGCCGAGTCCTAAATCCAAGCCCCTCACTCCCCTCGTCCCCTCCCTTACCCAGGGCTCGACCTAGATGGTTGTTTGGCGATCTCGTGGATCGTTTTCGTGCTGATGTCGTTTTGCAGCCGAAAACAAAACGAAAACGGAACAAAAACACTGTTTAGGTCGAGCCCTGCTTTTACCCTCCTCCTCCGGGACGCGGCTTGTCTCGACACCTGGGACGGAGGCGCTGGCTGCGCGCATCAGGCAGAGGGAGGAGGCCGCCGCAGTGGCCAGAATGGCCCTGGGGGCCCTGGCAGTCTTGCTCTGCCTCAGGGCCCCCCCGAGGACAAAGCCCCCCCCCCTCCCTCCTCCGGAAGAGGTGCCGCTGTTCCTGAGCCGCGCGCTGCCGGACAGCCTCATCGAGGCGGGCGCGTGTGGGGACCCTCCAGAAGGGGTGCTCCTCCCTCCCTCCTCCGCCTCCTCCGCCTCCTCCTCCTCCTCCTGCCTCCCTCCTGCCTCCTTCCTGCCTCCCTCCTCTTTCTCGTCCGTCCCCTGCCTCCCCTGAGACCCGCCGAACGCTATTTTTTCACAGCAGGCGTTTTCTCGCCCGGATTCGGGCCGCCCAGGGCCATCACTGATCGCTCCCGCTCGAAGCAATGCCAGTGAAAATTGTGGGCTAGACCTCGGGTCGTTACCTCTCACGATGTCGCATATCTTCGTGACGTCAGCTCTCAAGGTCGTCCCTGCTCCTTGGCTGGTCCTCCTTGGCCTCCTGCTCTTCCTCTCCTCCAGCTTTCTCTTGCATCCCCTTCCCGTCATCGTCCTCCTCTTCCCTCCTCCATGTGGCCGTTCTTGCCTGGGCCACTCGAGCGAATGTCTGATGTTTTGAGCATGGGGGCAACGGGTCCTGACGGAAGCGGGTCCTGGACACCAGTGCCTTCCCCCAGGATGGGTTCTTGATCCTGAGTTGTTTTCTGACGGTTCCGGGGCCCGTGGAGGGCCCCAAGAGCCCGAAAACGGCGAAGAATCTCAGGACCCGTTTCCCTCAGGACCCGTTTCACCCCCCCATGGCGATGTTTGTTTGGGTGCGCTGATTGCGTTCACGTTCTTGCGCAGCGCAGTGCTCCACATCGGAGCTTGCTCCGAGGCTGCGGATGCCCGATGAAGAGCAAGCTCGTCGATTCGGGTTCCCGAAGCCTCGATCGGCGTGGAGCGGAAACAAGGAATCCTCGATCGAGGATCGAGGCTTTTGGGTCGAGGATTGAGGATCTTCGATCCTTGATCGAGGATCGAGGACGAAGAAACCCTCGATTCTCGACGAGGATCGACGTTTTTTTGTGTCTCTGGATCTCCTTGGACCTGCACACCTCCACGGACGCCTAGGTGACCTGGCCGAGTCTGTCGAGGAGCAGGTCAGCTGCAATGTTGCCACTGGCAGTGGTACGCACGCAAGCACACACGTTTACTCATGCACAATCTCTCGCACACATACGTACAGTCTGGAAAGTTGGCTTAGCGTGTCGCTCCATCGATTCTGTCCCACCATGCAATCCCACTATGATTTGGCGCGACTCGTTATCCATTCCCTGGCCTCCAGGCATTAACGCTCCGAACCTTTCCCAGCCTCCCGCCCCACGGAGCGGAGCCACACGCTATCCGCTTGCAGGGCATAGCGTGTCGCCACGGCCGCCGCCGCAACACGCTAAGCGTAAGTTCCCGACCGTCCTCAGACACACTCAATGACACGCATACGCATACAGTCCATACACATACATACGCACGCATGTATGGACACATACATCTCGACGAGGGCTGTGGAGCTCGTGCTTCCAGTAGACTATTTGCCTGGTGGTGTGCTTGCCGTTCACCTCATGGCGAAAGAAGCTAAACACTCCTGGGGGCAAGAGACAGCGGAACCCTCACACACGCAGCCCCTCCAGCTTGTTTGGTGATTCGCCTCCATCACATGCTCGAGCCGAGGCTGAGCTGTAGAGCTCGCGGTTGGTCATTTGGTTTCGACTGCGACGCTGCAGCGCACCATGCGCAGGGGGCGTCGCCGCTCGGGAGCTCGAAGATAGTCGCGCTCCGCAGGTCGCGGTCTGTACCCGAGCGGCTGCCCTTCTCCAAGGGGGCGGCGCGGGGTCGTGAGGGCGCGACGGGAAGCGCGCGTTGCGCACCGCGGGGAGCGAGGGGCGAAGTCGGGTGACGCAGTTCCCCCTGCGCCCCCCCGCTCTGCCCCTCCTCCGCTGGCTCCTCCTTCCTTCTCCCCCCCTGCCGCCTGCTACTCCTGCTCGTCCTGATTATGCTTCTCTCTTTCCTCCTCCAGAGTGTCCCTCCACCGACGCCTCGGCGGCCAGGCCAGGACTGCCCCGCCGCTCCATGCAGGCAGACACCCGTTGAAAAAACGGCGGGTCCTGCATCCAGATAGCCCCGCAAGGGCCAAGCTGTTCTTGACAGTAGTCGTAGTAGTAGTCGTAGTAGTAGTAGTAGTAGTAGTAGTAGTAGTAGTAGTAGTAGTAGTAGTAGTAGTAGTAGTCGTAGTAGTAGTAGTAGTAGTAGTAGTAGGGATCACGACACCCAAGCGCCATGGTCTCCGCCAGAAAGTGTAGACATAGACACCCTGCAATGGATTGTTCCCCGGCCTCAGGGGAGGACGGCGGTAAATCAATCACCACTGGGAGCCGGCGAGTTTCGACACCGCCGCCCTCCGTGAAGGTGCATGCAGCATTTGCAGGAGGGTGTTTGTGCATATGCTTCCGTGGCGCATTACCGTGCCGTACCTGACCCCCTCCTGCTTCCCCAGTTGCTCACTGCGCTGCTTGAGCCCGACAGAAGGTACAGGTGCTCGCGCTTGCGCGTGCCTCGGTTTGCGGAGCTGGGCTCCCTGGCGCAGGACACTGTGGCGACACGGCTCGCCGTCACAGAAGGTCCTTGGCTCGAGGCTGACCTCGCACCTGCAGTGCCGACCTCGGCTCCCCGCTCCCGTGGTTCTGCCCGCGCCCAGGCGCCACGCCCGCTCGGGCGACGGAGCGCCGTTGCTCGGGGCGGCAGCTCGCGTGCAGAAGCCCGGGCCCGCTGCACACGGCCGAGGACGTCTGCGGAGCGTGCCGCCGCGGCGGCCACAGCGACACGCTGTTCAGAGGAGGAACTGGGATCATGACGCTACCTTTGCCCTGTGGTGGTCTTCTTCCGGCCCCAGCAGAGGCCCTCGTCACTACCGCTGGATTCGCCTCGAGATCTCGGTCAGAGCGCACCCTGGGAGAGGTCCGGGGATTAGCGGCATCTTATGTTGCATCTTTGGGGGATCCGTGTCGGATCCGCGTCGAATCCGTGTCGAACCCATGTTGGCCTCGTCGGATCCGTGTCGAATCCTTGCCGAATCCGCATCGAATCCACGCCACTTCCACGTCGAGTCCGCATCGAGCCCGCGTCGGGAACAAGAAAAGACACCAATTTTGGGGACAGGCGAGGTCCCCCGAAGATGCAACGTAAGGTATCGGTGCCCTGTGGCCCCCCCAAAGCGTGGCGCCGCGGCGCTGCGGCGGCCTTGGCGACACGCTGTGCCTTGTGAGCGGGTAGACTGTCGCTCCGAACCGCGGGACGGAGGGTTGGGCAGAGCTCGGGACGTTGACGCTCGGGGGCCAAGGCGTGGTGAGCGTGACGCGCCGAAGTTCGGGCCGATTAGCATGGGTACGGAAAGGATGGGTACAAAGGCAGACACCAGCCTTGGCTCATTGTGAACAGGACTCGCTGTCGGTGCCGCCACGCGGGCCTTGTCCACTTGAGACAGAAGGCCGCCTGCTCAACAGCGGCCGCTGTCGGTTTTGGACAACATTGATTGTTGGGCATCGTGCCCATGTTTTGCGAACTCCGAGTTCGTTAATAAGCGTGGGTAATAAGCGTGGGAGGGGCGCCACCCCCGCCGACAGCCCTGCATGGACCCCCGTCGCGGATAGCCGCCGCACGCCGAAGGCGCTCCGACCCCCGCCGCGGCGCTCCGACGAGGCGAGGTTGAGCCCCGTCGGGCCCCCCCCACGCGTATCAAGAAACCCAGAGTACCCCTCTCTCACTATCGTTTAACGGACCCCCATCCCCATCCCCATTATTTTTGAGACCCCCACCAGATTACCCCCCCAGTGGGGGATACCCCTCGAAGCCCGAATGATACGGCCTATACCCCGATCTAGGGGGGTAAATCGGCCAGTGGGGCCCAGGCCACACTGCTGGGGATGGGGATCGGATCAGCGACACTCGCCCTCGGGCGTCCAGAGAGGTGCGGTGGGCCAGGACCGTCGGAGCGGCGACGCTGACCGCACGGCCCTGCCCGCAGCATGCCTCCCGGCGAAGCCTGCGCGCGCCACGGCACGCGACGGTCCGGCTCGGCAGGCCTCGCGGCTGTGCGAAGCGCTGGCGGCAGTGTTAGGTCGGGCACGTCCCTCTGCAAGAGAGTCACACGAGGGCTGTTTTTTTCACTGCTACTTTTGACCATTTGGGCGTATGTTTGGCTTAAGTTTGGCTTTTATTCCGAAATCCGCCTGTGGAGGGGACAGGCCCGACCTAACGGCAGCGGTCTGCGCCAGCCATTTGCCGACCAAAAACAGGCTCGCATCAGGCGTGCACGTGGCTCCACGTGCGCGGACCGAGCACGCCTGGCTGCTTCGATCCCGCGGCGAGTTTTCTTCATCCGCTGTGGCAGGGCAGGCCGTCGTCGCCTCCCAGACATCCGAGGTCCCGCCCCCTGGCCCCAGGGCTAGCCTTAAGTCTGGCGTGCCCCTCTTCAGGAGGAGTATTCGAAAATAGTAAAACAGTAGTCCGGGGACGATGTTTTGATTATTCTTGAATATTGTACGAGTATTTTGGGGGTATTGTTATGTTTTCGCCAAAAATCCCCCTGCAGGGGGGCAGGCCCGACCTAAGGCGGGCCTTTCATCCCAGGTCGTTTGTCGACGGCCCCAGGGTCCGGCGACGCCCCCAGAGGCTGGCAGCGACCACGGTCTGCCCGCCGTGTGCTGTCCTCGGGGCCTCTTGCGCTTGGCTGGGCCTCTTCGTCGATCTCCCCCCCGTCCGCGGCGGAGATCTCTTCAGGACCACCGCCCGGAGGAACAGTTTTCTGGGACCTCGACAGGCGGTGGATGTGGATATCTATGCTATATATATATAGAGAGAGAGAGAGAGAGAGAGAGAGATACAGATATGTAGATGCAAACCTGTGCTCTATATACACATATTCGGGCCCCCCGGGGCCCAAGCATACCCCTATCCACTGCTCGCTGGGGCACCAGGACGTCGGCTGGCGGGCGTTGGACATGGAGAAGTCCCCGCCTCGCACCCCTGCCCCCCTCGGAGCGCGGGCACGGGGTGGGGGCGGGACAGGTCGTGGAGCTGCAGCCGGCGGTGGTCAAGGCTCCGCGCGCCCGTCCTCCGTCCGTCCCCTCCTCTGCCTTCCCTCCCTCCCCGCCCCCCCCCCCCTTCCCCCTCCTTGCACCCACCTCCTTCCCCTCCCCTCCCCAGATATCCGACGATGCTGTTTTTTTATCGTAAAACAAACCATCGGTGTTTTCTTAGATGTCCGCCTCGGGCGCCCGTTCTCGGGGCCCCGGCGCCACCGAACACGTATCCGAGGCGAGCACCTGACACCCAGGGAGGGGTCGGGACCTCTGGGCCCGCGGCTTCCGCATTTGCTCCCTGGCGGCTCCTCCCTGGTGTGTGTTCGACCCGCGCCTCGCTGGAGACACCCTCACAGTCTGCCCAGTGGCGGCTCCCGCATGGGGTGCTGAAGCCCTCGCCTCGCTCACGACATGCGCAGTCTGTTCTGAGAGCAGAGAAGTTCTGCGACAGGCCCACCGCCTGAGACATCGCAACGATCGGGGCGCGAACGGGCCCTGGCGGTTGCCCGCTGGGCGGCGAACAGCAGCGCCTCGCCTGAGACAGCACAGCCTCACGATCTGGTTCTGGAAGCGGGGGGGTCTGGGCCACCAAGCAGGCACACCGCAGAAGACACCCCCAGTCTGCTCTGAAAGCAGAGTAAGGAGGCTGGGTCGTCAAGCAGGCACATCGCCTGATACATCCTCTACGCTCTGCTTTGAAAGCAGAGGGCCTGGGCCACCAAGCAGGCCTATCGCCCGAGACGTCCCCACGATCTGGCCGCGAACGGGGCCGTGCAACCACCCCTGGTGGCTCCCACTGGGGGTGCTGACGCCGGCAAATCGTTTGAGGCATCCTTACATTCTGCCTTGACGCCAGAGGAGTCAGGGCCACCAACGAGGCAAACGGCCTCAGCCGATACCCCCACGATTTGGCCGCGAACGGGGCTGTGCAACGTCCCCTGGCGGCTCCCCTTTGGGGTGCTGAAGCCAGCGCCTCGCTCGAGACGTCCTCACAATAAGCCCTGATCGCAGAGAGGTCCAAGCAATCAAACAACTGGAACCATCAATGAGTCTGGGTGAGTCTGAATGAGACTGAGTGCGAGTATGTCCGAGTGCGTCCGAGTGTAAGTGAGTCCAACTGTGAGTCAGTCTGGGTGTGAATGAGTTTGAGTGTGAGTGAGTCTAGATATTAGTGGGTCTGAGTGTGAGTGAGTCTGACCTGCTAATCCGTTTGGTTGGGTGCGATTGAGCGTGAGTGAGTCAGAGTGTGAGTGTGAGTGAGTGTGAGTGCGAGTAGGTCTGAGCATAAGTGAAAATGAAGTATGGGTAAGTCTGAGTGCGAGTAAGTCCGAGTGGGGAAGAGGTGAGTGTGAGTGAGTCTGAGTGTGAGTGCATATGAGTACCGGTGTGTCCGACTATGAGTGAATTTGAATGAGGGAGAGAAGGAGGAGGGAGGAGAAGGGGAGGCGGAGGCGTCGTCGTCGTAGTGAAAACAAGAACCCCATCTTAGGATGTCGTAGAACCAGGCAGTTTCCTGAAGTCGAGATCGACGCCCGAAATCACGCAGTTCTCTCAGGCCCCCTTTGTCCCTGGGAAGGGGCGGTGGCAGCAAGAGCTCTCCCTCCCTGGCCTTCTGGGCCGAGAGCGTGGCGAGAGCTGCCCGCGGTGGTTCAGCACTCCAGGCTGCGAGCTCGCCGCTGGTCCCGGGCACTTTTCTGCTTCGGGCGAAGAGAACTGCGCACATACGCCGATCGTGTCCAGGCCCAGTCTGGGCCCAGGGTCGGTGCATGTACTTCCCTGGCCAAGCCAGGGGTGCGTATGCACCGATCCGATCTGTTGGCGATGTATCGCCAGTTCCAGATCGATGCTTCCCCGCCTTGAGCCGTTCCCCCCTATTGTTGCTCCCGGCTCTTTCACTAGTGCTCACCGATCACGGCCTTGACCGCGATTGGGGTCACTGGAGCCCTCCAGCGCCCGCGAGGCCGCGGTGGAGGCGCTCGGCTTCGTGCCCGGCCCGCGGCTGACCGTGGCCGTGGAGGACGCCTCTCCCCCCCTGCCACGGGCCAGGCCAGGCTGGGCCACGCCCCGCATCTCACGAGCGCGGCGGACGTGTCCGCAGCCACGCCCTCGCGGCCCGGATCCCGTGGGCGCGCTGTCGCATGGGCACGCCCCGCGCGGGGCACGCCCCGCGCGGGGCACCCGCGGAAAAGCACCCCGTACCCACGGGGTCGCGGCCCAGGGGCCCGTCGCGCAAAGTTGTGCATACGCACATGTTTTCCGCCCACAGCCCCCCCCCCCCCAACAAACATGCCCAGCCTCACACGGACGTTTCCCGCCTACGAGGACGAGGAGGACGAGGAGGAGGAGGAGGAGGAGGAGGAGGAGGAGGAGGAGGAGGAGGAGGAGGAGGAGGGAGGAGGAGGGAGGAGGAGGAGGAGGAGGGCAAGGAGTCGTGAGAACGGTGCTTGCCCAGATGTCGAAGGATTGCAGGATTTCCTGTTGTTCCGCGCAGGGTCCAGAAGCGAGGGCCGCTGGATGCTCTGGAGATCCGGGTCCTATCATGACATCGTTCTCGTCCTACTCCTACATTCACCACCCACCAAACCACCCCAACCCAACCCGAAGGCTTAGATTTACCATCGATTTCTAGTTGGGGGGGGTCGGGAAACATAGAAAAAACACGCGTGGAACCCTTCCCCCCCAAACCCGAAATTCGGGTCTTCGGGTTGGGTTGGGGTGGTCTGGTAGGTAGTCATACATGCAGTGGGCTCGCCGAAGGGGCAAGGTCAACATCGAAGTGGCATGTGCTCAGCGAAGAAGAGGAGTGCCAATAGTAATACGACTAAGGATAATCTTGAGAAGCAGAAGGCGAGGACGCATACTAAGCATGAGAAGAGCAGCACGAATAGCAAGCATAAGGACAGCATCACAAAAAAAAACGACGAAAAAACAGCATGAGCATATGCTGTCGGAGGTCCGCGCGGCTTTCTCAGATCTGCGCGCCCCCCCCCCCCATCCCCGCTGACGCGCGGAGCGCGCGGGGGGCGGCGCGGGAGGCGCCGCCAGGAGGGGGTCCGCGCCGATTTGAGAGTATACGCGCGGACGTCCGCAGGGAAGGGCACGCAGCCCACCCGGGGGTAAGTCCGCCAGGGGGGCCAAGGCCGTGCCAACCCGATGTTCCCACCCATCCCTCCCCATTCTGCTGTTTTTTCCTTTATCCGCCGGCGGGTGTCGCAGTGGAGCTGGTCGGGGCTCAAGGGACGGGGGTCCATGCAAACGGTGTCAGCCAGAGCGCCGTATCTCGCAGGATCGTGCAGAGCCAGGCTTGCATTGACCCAGGCTTGGGTGCAGGATCCGGCAGGATCCTGTAAGATCTTGTGGGTAGCGCAATGATTGACCCTGGTTTTCAGAGCGTGAATTACCTACCCCGCTTTCGCTTCCAGGCAAAACCAAGCCATACCACGCGCCTCCTCGTCAAGCGGCCTGACCAGTGCAGGCTGCAGTCTGGCATCGTTTGGTATCTCTTGGAAGCGAGGGTGGTCAAAAGCGAGGTAGGTTTGTTTTCCCCCGAAATGACCCAGGTCAGCAGATCCCCGACCTGGAATCCCAAGACGACCCCATCGTGTTTTCGCGCAGTCAGGGCCGCCCCAGATCGCCGCCGCGTGCTGTGCGCACGCACTCAGCAAGGGGAGATGTGCACATAGGAGGAGGAGGAGGAGGAGGAGGAGGAGGAGGAGGAGGAGGAGGAGGAGGAGGAGGAGGAGGAGGAGGAGGAGGAGGAGGAGGATAACTAGGAGGAGGAGGAGGATGTGGATGAACAAGAGGATGTTGGAGGGCAAGGTGGAGTCGGATGTTGCCAGATGGTTCTCTGGCTCAACGTGCCCCAGGATTTCCAAGAAGACCCCCACGGCCTCCAGAGTACCCTTCACGGAGCCCAGAGGGTCCAATGGGACTCCAGAGTGGATCGAAAAGTTGGGGACTTCTCGGCCCAGGGGGGGCGGATCCGAGATCCCTGGCCTGTCCTGGGGTCCGACGTCGCCCCGGTCCTGGCCTCGTCTCAGAAGGAGGCGCGGCGGAGGAGGGCATGCAGAGGACGGAGCTCCTGGGCATCACCCCGCCGCTGGCCCCCTGCCCCCTTCCCCAGTGGCACCGTAGGGGGAGGGACAGGCTCAGGGGGGGGGACGGCACGCATCGATTCCCGATCGTCCCTTTATCGCCGATCGGGGCCCAATAGCCTCTTCCTCCTCCTCCTCCTCCTCCTCCTCCTCCTCCTCCTCTTCCTCCTCCTCCTCCTCCTCCTCCTACTCCTCCTCCTCCTCTCCCCCCCCTCTACGGTTCCTCCGCTCCTCTCTCGCTCTCGCCCCGCCCTGCCCCAGAACGTGAAGCTTCGCTATCGGGGGGCCCAGGCAGGCCCCGGCCCGATCTCGCAGTCCCATGCATCTTGGGTGCTGCCTCTCTTGAGACGTTCCCCCCCCCCCCCCCCCTCCCCTCCCCCCCTCCTCCCCTCCTCCTCCTCCTCCTCCTCCTCCTCCTCCTCCTCCTCCTCCTCCTCCTCCTCCTCCCTCCTCCTCCTCCTCCTCCCCTCCTCCCTCCTCTCCTCCCCCTCCTCCTCTCCTCCCTCTCCTCCTCCTCTCTCCTCCTCCTCCTCTTCTCTCCCTCCTCCTCCTCCTCCTCCTCCTCCTCCTCCTCTCCTCCTCCTCCTCCCCCTCCCCTCCCCTCCTCCTCTCCCCCCTCCTCCCTCCTCCCCCTCCCTCCCCCTCCCGCAGGACGGGGCGGCCTTCGCGCTGCGTGCCGCGGAGCGGGTGGCCTCCGGCGAAGGTTCGCGCCTCCCGGGGGGGGGGGGGGGCGGCCGAAGAGTGCATAGGGCCCCTGACCCTCGGAGGCTGATCGAGCCCACGCCCTGCCCAGTCCCCTCTGCCCCCCTTCCCCAGTGGCACTGCAGGGGGGAGGGACAGGCTTCTTCTCCTCCTCCTCCTCCTCCTCCTCCTCCTCTCCTCCTCCTCCTCCTCCTCCTCCTCCTCCTCCTCCTCCTCTTCCTCCCCCTCCTCCCCCTCCTCGAAGAAGGCAGAACGCCATTAACATTACGTCTGGCCTGCCATTCCACAGGAGGAATATTCAGAAATAGCCAAGACATAGTCAGGGGACGACTTTTGACTATGTCTGAGCATTTTTGATCATTCTTGGGTTCTTTTTTCCGCCCCAAATCCGCCTGTAGGGGGACACGCCCGACCTAACATTGACAAAAACTGCTGGCGCTCCGCGCGGATTCCTTGGATCCGCGCTGGGCCCCCCGTGCGGCGCCTCCGGCGCTGGCCCTGGCGCGCTCCGCGCGCCAGGGAGGGGGTCCCGCGCGGATCCAAGAAGTCCGCGCGGAGCGCCAACGGTTTATGTTTATGCAGTTTTTCCTTCCTCCAACTCCGCTGCCTCATCACTCTCATCCTGCCCCCTCCTTTTCCAGGATCCAATTCTGGCCGATCGACCCGGTTCGACGTCGAACACCGCCACTTCGATCCGATTCGATTCGTATCTCCTGCGGTCCGATGCGACCCGATGCTTGTATGGCGCTGTTGTGCACCCTGGTGCGGCCGATCCGATTCGAGTCTGGCTCCGTGCATCGATGCATGCCGAGGCGACGCGCATTCCGATTCGATTCGGTTTTCCGATCCGATGGTGATCGATCTTGACTCTTCCCTATAGTGGGCACGGCAAACAAGAAGCCAACGTGCCAGCATAATCTCAAAGCCCGACGACAAACGTGCCCCCAGATTCCCTATGGCGAGGCGTCTTACCGTATCTTCCTACTGTACAGCGAGAGCGACGGCGACCTCTCGGCGTCGGCGGGTTCCAGCCGCACCCGCCGCGGCAGAGAGTCCGCCAGGCGAGGGCTACGACGCGGTGCTCGTCGATGCCTACACCTCCGACGGCGAGGTCGCCCGCGCCGCGGGCACCCCGCGGCCACTTGACGACAAATTTGATGCACATATGCTAGTAGACATACATATTCATTGCCCCGGCAACCAGGGTTCCCCGTTCGAGCCGGCGCCGAAGACGCTATTTGAAGACGCTATTCCAGGTAAAGACGCTGTTCCGGGTGAAGACGGTGAAGATGCTATTCCCGGTGAAGACGCTATTCCCAGTGAAGACGCGATTCCCTGTAAAGAGGCTTTTCCGGGTGAGGACGCTATTCCCTGTGAAGACGCTATTCCCGTTGAAGATGCTATTCTTTGTGAAGACGCTATTCCGGGTGAAGACGCTATTCCCGTTGAAGATGCTATTCCTTGTGACGACGCTATTCCGGTTGAAGACGCTATTCCCGGTGAAGACGATATTCCTTGCGAAGACACTATTAAACTTGTGAAGACGCTATTCCGGGTGAAGACGCTATCCCTGGTAAAGACGCTATTCCCGGTGAAGACGCTATTCCGCGCTCCAGGCGTACCAGCGCGGCTCCAGGCGTTCCGGCGCGCATCCGAAACGACTTCAGAGAGCCCCAAGGCGGTTCACGACGACCCCAAAGAAGCCGTAATACCCCCAAAGATCGCGCCAAAACGTCCCAAGAGGCCTCCAAGAGCTTTCCCAAGAAGGCCCCAAGAGGCAACATTCTTGATTCTCTGAAGGTTGTTGGTGCATTTTGAGGTTCTCCTCTTTTCGGCTTCCCGATGCTCCAAGGCGGCGGTTTTCTGGACGTCCGAACCTGGGACGCTCGAAAGACGGCAGTCCAAGAGAGCCCAAAGACGGCACAACAGGGTTCCATGATGGCCTAAGGGAGCCCCATGACGGCCCAAGATGGCCCCAAGACACCCTCCGAAGCATTCCAAATCGCGACCCGGTCGTTCAGGGAGACCGGGGTTGGAGGCAGGGTGGCCCGAAGAAACGCCCAGGAGGCCTCCAGAAGGCCTTAAGAAAGCATGACAATCTGTTGTGAGGCCCCAAGAGGCTCTCCAAGGAGGAGCCTCCGCAAAAAGAGCTGAGGAGGATGGGGAGAATAACAGGGTATGGCGATAATGAGGGAAGAGAGGCATGGAGGCCGCAGACACTACACGCAGACACTACAATTCAAGTGGAAGGCGTGGAGAGGCCATGTGGAAATCGCAGTCTCAACGAATTTGCAGCGAAACGCGCGTGCGGACACTTTGGGTTTGCACGAGTCAAATTTGCGAATGGGGCCACTTTCAATATCATAATACGAATGTGGACTTAAAAGCCATTCAACATCTTGGCCCTTCAACCATGCAGTACTGTCACACTGCCGACAAACTGGGCCATCGCATCTAATAGCCAGACTTCATGTTCAATAGTGGACGGCAAACTTCAAGACATACACTCACGATTTCGCGGGACACTGTTTTTTTCAGTGATTTTTGCGCGGCGCATTTTTGTAGCGGAAATTTTCGTGGTGAGCCATGCAAGGACAATGTGGAGCCAAACGGCTTTGATGTTCTTCGGTCGTTGGTCGCTGGACGCTATGTGATGGCCGCTGGCGCGCGCCCGCTGTGCACGCACAGTGTGACGTCGTCGACGCCAGCCGCTCTTCATCTTGGCGACAGTGGCCACTGCCGACAGTCGTGCTCTCCTTCTCCAGTCACCGAGATCATACGAGCTGAGTGATTAGGATTTGCCGGTTGGATTCTTACACATGCGATATGTGGTCGCATCGACGAAGATTTTGCTGCATTATTCACATGGGGTTGTGTCTGCATTTCAAGGACAATGTCCAGCTTGCACTTTCGGTTAGCAGGTAGTCGTGTGCGTGTAATTTCGTTCTCTCACGCGAACTGCTGATTCTGCTCGCACTTGCACACCATCGCCTCGCCCTCGGCGAGACCGTGGACCTCCAAGGCCGCAGTGCACGCTGCCTATCCTGGCTGTCTTCGACCACGGGCTTCGCTCAAGACGCGTCCCTGGTCCTCCTTCGCCCGCGCGCGTGCCTCCGGCTGGGCCCCTCTCAGCGCACTCGAAGGGGCAGGGGTGGGAGCTGGGGGGGGGACTTCGGGCAGGAGGGGAAAAAACACACAGACACAATTAATCGTCGACTCCCAGGAAAATATGCAAAAATATGGGAAGTGGGGGGGAGGACAAAAAACAAGAACATACGGGAAAATAGGGGGAATCTTTTTATTTGTGTGTATTTATTTGTGTGTTTGTGGGCCCCTTCATTCGGGCAGGCGGGGGCTGGCTGCGTGCCGAAGGGGGAAGTGTGATGAAGGGGGGGCAGGTCTTCTCAGAAGGCGGCGGAGCTGCCGAGGAGGCCTTCGGCTTTCCGAGAAGCCCCCCGAGGCTCCGGAGAAGTCCTGGAAGGCTTCCCGGAAGGCCGGAGGCCTTCCAGAGCCTTCGGAGAAGGCCGGCCCCCTCTGCCTCCCCCCTGGGCGCGCCGTCGAAGTGGGGAGGGGGCGTACTCGTCGGCGTTACCTCAAGATCCCCAGATCCCAGTCTATTTCAAGCGCCTGCCCCTACCTCAAGAGCAGATGCGCTTTTGCTGTGCTCTGCTATCCTCTGGGAGGGCAAGAAGAACCCAATCTACTTGATCCGCCATCCTAGTTATTTTTGTTGACCCACTTCTTCCGACCGACGCGTGCTGGGTGGGGGCCGCCGGAAGAGGTGCCAGCGCCGCTGTGTGAGCCAGATGGCCCGCTGGCGAGGGCGCTGGCCATGGGCCTGCTGCGGGAGCGCCCTGCTGCCTCCCCTCCCGCGCGGCGCGCGCGGCCCCCTTTCCGCGCCGTGGCTCCAGGGAGCATCTCGAGCATGGTGCACGCCGGTCGTTGAAAGGAGGTATTCGTGGATCCCCATATCCCAATCTATCTACTTCAAGCGCCTTCCGACCTCAAGAGTCGATAGCGCTGCTGCTGTGCTTTGTTATTCTCTGGGAGGGCCTGAGCCCAATCTACTTGATCCGCCTTCCAGTTTTGACCCATTTCTTCCGACCGACGTGTCTCCGGGGAGCGCTACGAGCATGATGCTCCAGCCGCCAGGTAACGGCGTTCCGCGCAAACGGGGCTCAGCCGCGGCGCCGCATCCTGCGGGGGTTCTCGCAGGGCTGGATGTGGGCCGAGCCTGCTCTGGGAGCCGCCCGCGGGCCTGTAGGTGGCCTTACATGTAGGCTGAGCGGGGTGGTCGGAAGCCCCACCCCCAAAAAACATTGCAGCGATGTTTGTTCTAAGCTGGTTGAGCCAGGTTTGCGCTGAGTCAGAGTGGTCCACGCCCGATCGTCCTTGCGGCAGAAGACCCTCGACAGCTTTGCACAGGTCACGAGGGGTTGGCCACGATCGGGGGCCACGATGGGAGGCCATGATGGGCCAGCAATTTCGGGGGCCAGGATCTTTCACTGGGCGTCACAAGCATCACGTACATCCCTTCCAGACAAGTTTTCAGTCGGGCATGTCCCTCTACAGGAGGGATCTTCTAATTAAAATAGTCAAAATAATAGTATGTGGACGATCTTTCTATTATTTTTTGTTTATGTTTGGATATGTCTTGACTATTTTTTGATCTTTCTTACAGAATCCGTCGACCTCAGACAAGCTGTTCAGGGAAACCTGAGCCTTGACGTTCGGAGGTCCGCGCGGATTGCTTGGATCGGCGCCGGTCCCCCTGGCGGCGCCTCTGGCGCCACCCCGGCGTGCTCCGCGCGCCACGGGGGGGGGCGGGCACCGATCCAAAAAGTCCTTGCGGACCTCCGAAGGTTAATGCTTCTCCTATTTCTTCCTCAGTCCAGGCCTCCCAAGCGGGGTAGAAGTAGATGGGTTCGGAGGATCACGCCGCATATCACCGATTCATCGGCGATGCGACGCCATGTCGAGCCCGATTTTTCCACGCGATCGGCGACGATGCACCGCCGACGTCGCAAGTGCATCGCCGATACATCGCCGATGCATCGGCGATGTATCAGCCATGCGGCGTGATCTTCGAACCCCATCTGCTTGGCCCCCAGGAGGGAGGCCTCCGGGCAAGGCTCTCAGGCAGAGGGAGCATATGTGTCTTGCCCACGCTGGTTTCTCGAGCACGTCTCGGGTTGCTGCCCTTGGCGCCCGCCCTGCATTCCTCTTGGGCCGTCTTCGAAAAGTCTTGGGGCCCCTCTGAAGCCATGCAGTTGTCATACACGCACAGAGCGTTTTGTGTATGTGTGTCTAACTATTGTTCTTTTCTTCCATTACTTCTCATAGTGCAGATACAGGGGGCAGTTGAGGGGTCAGGAGGCCGTTCGGGCTCCATCTTGGGACGTGCACCAGCGCTCCGAAAGTTTGTCCAAGGGCCAGTCAAAATGAATAGTGCACGGGCGTTACTAGGACGATGCATGGGCTAGAATGTCGTACATGACGGCATGGGTTTAAGCCATGCTGGGCTGACATATGTGCGGGGGGGGGACGGCCAATCCTCTCACGCGCCCTTGCGCTACCAGCGGGCTCTGACCACGCCAAGTTCTCGGCAGCAAACCATATGCGCGCCAGTGTTTCTTCAGCGCCCTCTGCTACCATCACAAATACACAGTCGAGGTTGATTGGGAGGTCGACCCTGCCAAATCAAGGGTATCCTCGGATCTTGTGTTTCGCGACCCATGCCCTGCATTCCTATGGCAATGTGGCCCTCGGAAGGGCCTTGTGTCCTCTCGCGTGTCCTTTCCAATTAACCCCGACTGTACAATGAGAAGTAGGCCCCTATTTCTCGGTAGCAGTATGTTACGTGGGGCCATTGGTCGGGGATCTGTTTACGCTGCCGTTTGCCGTATGTGTGTAATCATGTCGTGTCAATGTCGAGTCGTGCCCAAAGAGAGCCCCAAGATGGGGACTCGAAGCGTAACTAATTTCGAGTCCCCATCTTGGGGCTCTCTTGGGGCACTCTTGGGGCCTTGTTGTGCTGCATTTGGGGCCTATGGGGCCATCATGGGGCCCTCTCGTGATGTCTTTTGGGTCTCTTGGGGGCCTCTTGGTGCTTCTCGGGGCCTCTTGGGGGCCCGGCCCGCTGGCCGTCTAGGGGGTCATCTGTGGGCTGCCGGCTCGACATGTCGTTCCGTGCTACTCCGCTTGGGGCGCTCTCGGGGGTCATCTTTGGGCGGGTGGATCGACATGTCGTTTCGTGCTCCTCCTCTGAGGGCGCCCTTTGGGTCGTCTTGGGCCGTATTGGGTGCCTTTTTGGGTCATCTTGGGGCTCTCTTGGGCTGTCTAGGGTATCTCTGGCGCGTCTTGGGCTGATCTTGGAGCGCTTTGGGGCCGTCTTGGAGCGTCGGAAACCCGAAAAGGTCGGAAAGATCCACTCACTCACAACCCTTGCAATGGGCAGTGTTTCTGGCCTCTTGGTGGCATCTTGGAGAGCCTCTTGGTGCGCTCTTGGTACGTCTGGGGGGTCCCTAGAGCTGCAGGAGGCCATCTTGAGCGTCTCGGGGCGCTCTTGGGCCGTCTCCGAGCCCTCCTGGCCCGTCATGTGGGCCTCTTAGGGCGCTAGTGAGTTCGTACACCCCCTCCCCTCAAACACGTTCTTGGACCCTGGGGGAGGAGGAAGGAGGAGGGGCTACAGCCAATTATCTCACAAGCCTTGGCACCCCCGGCAAGCGGGGGTCGGCGCATTTCGTGTTGCGTTGCACGAGGTCGGATTGATATTGTGCGAATGCGAATGTTGAGAGTGCGCTGCGAAAAGGAAGCCGTGGTAATGCGAACGCATCCGCGCCACACGACGGCCCCCGAAACAAGCCCCGTCAACAAACTATGCTCATGTAGTGTAGTGTGCCCGATGGATCCGAACGCAAATATTTCGGGGAAGCCTCAAACGAGGTAATTTTCGGGGCTCCGCTCCTGAGCCCTCAAGCACATGTTGCTGCTCACTTCGGGGTGGGCTGGGTATGCTTTCGACGGGTCGGAAGATGCGGTGCCCTTAGGCTACCCACGCGATTTGGTGGCTAATATTGTGGAGCGCAGGCCGCCCCAAAGCGTGTGTTTGCACAAGTCCCAAAGAATTCTCCAAATGTAAGGTGGGCCAGACATCGCTTTGACATCTTCGTACGGACGTTTCCCAACAAGGCCCAAGCGCTTTGATGTTGTTTAGGGGCGTATCCCAGGCGATCAAACAGCATGTTCGCACACATGTCCCATTGAGGTTGCTCACTTCTCGGCCGGCTTGTCGAAGGTCGAGTTCGCTCACGCAGCGAAATTCTTTACGCTTCGCGTATCCCCACCAGCCCATCTCACAACAGCAACTCTCGCGAAGCATGCCGACAGTCGTGTTTTTCAGGCGTGTGTCCGCTTGGCCCCGCATATCTCCCCTGTTACTCCTTCCTCCTGCCTCCTTGTACATCCTCCTTGTGGGGGGAGCGGGAGAAGGACGAGGCGGAGGAGGAGGGAGAGAAAGCGCTCCTCGTGGTTTGAGTCGTTTGGGGTTTCTCGTCCTGGTGTGAGTCGTTCGGGCCCTTCTTCCTGGTGTGAGTCGTTCGGGCTCTTCGTGGTGTGAGTCGTTCGGGCTCTTCGTCCTGGTGTGAGTCGTTCGGGCTTCTCGTGGTGTGAGTTGTTCGGGCCCCTCGTCCTGGTGTGAGTCGTTCGGGCCCCTCCTCCTGGTGTGACTCGTTCGGGCTCCTCGTGGTGTGAGTCGTTCGGGGCCCTCGTCGTGGTGTGAGTCGTTCGGGCTCCTCGTGGTGTGAGTCGTTCGGGCGCCTCGTCCTGGTGTGAGTCGTTCGGGCCCCTCCTTCTGGTGTGAGTCGTTCGGGCTCTTCGTGGTGTGAGTCGTTCGGGCCCCTCGTCCTGGTGTGAGTCGTTCGGGCTCCTCGTGGCGTGAGGCGTTCGGGCACCTCGTCCCCTTTTGGGGCGTCTTGGGGGCCTCTTGGCGGCCCCAGGGGCTTCTAGGAGCGTCTTGGGTGCCTTGGGGGAGCCTCTTGGGGGCCTCTTGGGGGCCTCTTGGAGGCCTCTTGGGAGCCTCCTGGGGGCCTCTTGGGGCCATCTTGGGGCCTCTTGGTGCCTCCTGGGCGCTTCTTGGGGCCATCTTGGAGGAAATGGATCAAAGAAGAAGGGAGCTTTAATTAGCGCTGCCCCCTCAGAAGGGCAAAATGGGCCCGAAACCTTCGTAAAATCAATGATTTTGCATTGAAAGAAGAGGAGAGCTGTAATGAGCGCTGCCCCCTCAGAAGGCCAACATGGGGTCAGCACCGTAGTAAAATCAATGAGTTTGGCTTAGTAGTGATGGTAGGCGTAGTCGTTGTAGTGGTAGTTGTCGTGGTAGTACTAGTACGTAGTAGTAGCAGTAGTAGTAGCAGTAGTAGTAGTAGTAGTAGTAGTAGTAGTAGTAGTAGTAGTAGTCGTAGTAGTAGTAGTAGTAGTAGTAGTAGTAGTAGTAGTAGTAGTAGTAGTAGTAGTACTGGCAGTAGTAGTGGCCGTAGCACCATGAGTAGACGTCGGAGTAGTAGAGGTAGAAGGAGTAGGACTAGTCATAGTAGTAGCAGTAGCAGACGCAGTAGTAGTGAGAGTAGTCCTAGTACTAAGAGCAGCAGTAGTAGTAGTCCCAGTAGTACGAGTAGCAGTGGTAGCAGAAGTAGTAGTCCCAGTAGTACTAGTAGCAGTGGTGCTAGTGGCAGTGGTAGTGGCAGTGCTAGTAGTAGTAAGAGTGGTAGGTAGTAGTAGTAGTAGTAGTAGTAGTAGTAGTAGTAGTAGTAGTAGTAGTAGTAGTAGTAGTAGTAGTAGTAGTAGTAGTAGTAGTAGTAGTAGTAGGTAGTAGTAGAAGTAGTAGGAGTAAGGTGAAAAGAAGTAGTAGCCGTCATAGTAGGTATAGTGGTAGTAGTCGGAGATGATATAGTGAGGCGAGTACGCGTGGTAATAGTAGTAGTGGTGGTAGTCGTAGGAGTAGAAGTAGTAGTAGATGTCTTGTGGGAGCCTCTTAGAGGCCTCTTGGGGCGTCTGGGGCGCCTCGTGGGGCCTCTTGGAGACCTCTTGGGAGCATCTTGGGGGCCTCTTGGAGGCCTCTGGGGGGCCTCCTGGGGGCCTCTTGGGCCCATCTTGGGGCCTCTTGGGGGCCTCTTGGGGGCCTCTTGGAGGCCTCTTGGGAGCCTCCTGGGGGCCTCTTGGGGCCATCTTGGGGCCTCTTGCGACCTCCTCAGAAGCGCAAATGAGCGCTGCCCCCTGAGAAGGACAAAATGAGGCCAACACCTTCGTAAAATGAATGATTTTGCTATGAAGGAAGAGGAGCGCGGCCCCCTGAGAAGGCCAACATGGGGCCGAAACCGTAGTAAAATCAATGATTTTGGCTTCAAAGAAGAGGAGGGGATTTTTCTCCCTCCCCCCGTCGGGGCCAGAATCCTCGTGAGGGGTGTCGTTTTGTAGCCCTCCCAGGAGTCGAAATTGACCCCCTTGACGACCCGCGGGACTCCCTCTCCAGGCCCAGGGGGGGGGGGTAGGGGGAGGGGTAAACCCCTCCCCGAAGGGGAAGAAGGGGGGTTGAGGACAGAGAGAGCTCGCTAAACCACTCACGCCCAAAGGGCTGGTGGGATTTTAATGTCTCTGTCCGAGAAAGGTCAGGGCGGTATTTTTCAGGGGGGTTGGACATCACGTTAGGTGTTTGAAGTTCAGACTGTCACATCAAAGCCGATTCCCCGTCCAGGAGGCCCACATGGGGATTCTACTCCCTTTCCCTTTGCCGCCTCGTTTCTTCATGATCCCCCACTCCGCCCCTCCGCCCCCCAGCTGAGTGCGCGCGTTCGCGGGTCGCCATTCGTCCGCGACGCGCCCCTGCCCAAATCGGGGAAATTATATAGCGCGCAGAATCTGAGCAGGCCGTCACGTCTTTGAGATGGACTACCAGGACGAATTCGGGGGATGTCTTGGACCCCTGCGTCCCAAGTGCAGGGCGAAAACAGCGCACCCAAGCACCAAAGATCCCACCCGCCTTTTCAGCGCAGCCACGGCTTCTGGTGCCCGCAGGGCCCCCGCAGGGCGTCCTCTCACGTCAGTGCGAGTTCCGGCCGCACCTCGCTTCCCCTTGAGACGCAGTTCCTGGGATCTAAATCCAGCATTGTCCCGACTAGCCCAGCTCAGTCCCACTGAATCATGCGCCTGATTCGGGCTGATCTGGCTTAGTGGCCCCTTCATCGTGTTTAGTAGCCCCTCCTCGTTCTGGCGGAGACCTCCCAGAAGTTGCTTGCGGACTCACCCTCGGCAGACCAGACTGGTGCTGATTGCGGCGGCTGGCTCTCTGAAGTCCCTGGGCGATGCCTTCTGGCGGGAGGATGCCGGCGCCGTCGCGCACGAGATGCCGAACACATCGTTCAGGAGAGGTGGCTGCTAGACGCCGAGGGCCCAGGCAGTGCACCCTCCAGGGCCACCGCGCGAGGCGGATAGCTCACCAGGCGCGGTGGTCCCAGGGTGCCCGACCGCTCGTTGCTGCTCTAGGGGGGCCGTCTTGGCACCCTGGCGCTCTTCTTCCCCCCCTCCGTAGGCTCCTGGAGGGTTTCAGGAGGAAAAGAAACACACAGACACAATTAATCTTCGACTTCCCAGAAAATATGGGAAAATATGGGAAGTGGGGGGGAAGACAGAAACCCAGAAAATATGGGAAAATATAGGGAATATTTTTATTTGTGTGTGTTTATTTGTGTGTCCTGGGGCTCCTTCAGGGTTGTCGGACATTTTCGTAGGTTCCTGGAGGATTTCCTGCCTCGGGATCCGTCTCAGCAGCTGCGCCTCGCGGAGAGCGTTCCGGGGGTGCCCAGATCTTCCCGGGACGGCCGCCGGAGACCCGAGCTAGGATCCGGAAACCAGAGGGCACCGTCAGGGGCTGGTGCAACAGCACGTCCAAGCATATGATGTAGCGTGACGGTCTTGCCGCCGTTGCTGCAGATAGTGTGCGGGGGACAGGACTTTTCCGCCCGAGCTTTCCATCACAACCGGTGTTTTCGGCACTATAAGCAGGTTAGCTCCCGCTCACTTGAGATCTGGTCTCTCTCTCCCTCTCTCTCTCTCTCTTCTGCTTCTCTCGCTTGCCGCGAGATTGTAGAATCTGTTCGTTTCACCACCGCTTGGCTGCCTGCAGCGTTGATAGCTATCTTTTCTCACAAACATTCTCTCCTCTCATATTGATGCTTCTGCGCTGCTCATCTTCCCCGAAATCTTTATCCAACCTCTATGTAGGGGCGAGCTGGGGCGACGACACCGATCAGCGTTCATTTCCCCGACGCATCACGAAGCCTCGCGGTCTGGGCGAGTGCGTGCGCAGGAGTAGGAAAGGGATATCCCCCCTGAGCGGCATAGCCATGCACTCCCTCAGCTGATTGACAGCCCGATTCCTGCAGACTCCTAACTCCACTCACTCATCCCCCTCTTCGTCCTGATTGTTCAACCTCCGTAGCCGTTTTGGCTCAGGCGGCGCCTCCTCAGGCTCTCAGTCTAGCCAGCCTCGCCCTCCGTGGCGCTGGCCGCAACTACGCGCACCACGCATACAGACCGCCTGCAAGGCCGTCTGGGGAGGCATGCCTGCGTCGCTGGTCGTCGTCCGCGAGTACCTCTCCCCTCCGCTTTGCCTCGGCGGGCCCGGCGTGCACATCCTCTCCGCGTGCCTGGGCGCCTTCGGGCAGCCGGAGCTCACCGTCGACTGCACGGAGCAGCTGCAGGAGGCGCTGAGGCAGCACGGGCACGTTTGGCTCAGCGCATCGGCCTGCTGGCTGCCTGGGGTGCAGGACCCGGCGCCCGGCTGGCTGAAGCGCCTCTCGGTGGTCTACGAGGGCGTCAACGAGGGGTGCGCCGCAAGTGCGACGGTGGCTTTCGGCTGCAGCCTGCTGTGCAAGGTCGCGGTGGCGGCCGGGGTGCTCGCGCTCGTCGGCGACAAGGCGGCCGCGGTGGCCGCACTGGCGTCGCCCGCCGTGCAGGTCGCAGCCTTGGGCGGGGAGCTGGCCGTGACCGGGGTGGCGGCGGCCCTGGCGTGGATGTCGGCCGAGGGGAACCCCGCGTCGCCATTCTGCGAGAAGGAGTGCGCCACGAAAGAAGCCCAGATGTGCCCGCGCCACGAGAAAATCACTATGCAGGTTTTTGGGCCATTTTGCTTTTCCGGGAGTGCTCGCCAGGCCCGTCAACAAAGTACTCGGGATGAAAAGTCGTCGCTGGAAAAAGGTTCGGGATTTCTGGAGACCCCGTATTCAGAAAATAAAGACATGGGATGTCTGGGAACGGGTCCTAAGGAAAGCGGGTCCAAAGGTTTTTGTCCGTTTTCGCTCTTTGTAGGCCTTCCCCAGGGCCCGTGAGTCTCAAAAACAGCTCAGGATGAATGAATGGTCCTCGGGACGGCCCCCAGGTCCAGAGTTTCCTTCAGTACTTTTTTGCCTCATGTCAAGGAGTGTGCCGTGTGCATGCAGAGCCTCCACTGCGACGATGTCGCTACGATCACCACGTGCCAGCACACCTTCCACTGGCGGTGTTTGGAGAAGTGGGGGCAGGTTTCGAACTCGTGTCCTACGTGCCGCAGTGACCTGCCACGGCAAGGCCAGCACCACGATGGCGAATTTGTGCACGCGTGCCGCGGACTTCCGCGGCACGCCGAGTGAGGTTCGAGGCAGCTGGCAGTCGGCCAAATGGAGATCGCCATGCGATGTTTGAAGCATCCATTCGCATGTGGCCTGAGAGCCGCTGGAGGGCATCACGTCTTATCGAATCGCTTCGCTTATTCCGGCGGCCCCTGTTTATGATTGTTGGCGGGTACGTTGGGAGGTGTCACGCATGAGAAAGGCAGGCCACGAGGGACCATACGAGTGCACGCGGAACGGAGCGTTCATTCCAATGAAGGCATGAGATGACCATGTATGCATAGGCAGGGGCAGCGCCTTGGGGATTCATGGAAGTCTCTAGGATGATTTCGGGGGCTCGTTGACTCATTGGGGGTGTCTCCAGGGCTTCTTGGGGCTCTCGGGGGCCTTTTAGGTTTTCTAGTGGGCCATTTAGGACCACCCCTGGGCAGGGGCAACTAAGAGCAATCACGCCCTGGGAATCAGGACAGGCGCGCACCGCAGATAGCTGCCGCAGAACCGAGAAGTCCATAGTGAACAGACAGGCGAGCAAGCCGAAACCATCCGATTTTTTGAGAAAAATCGTAACTTCTTGCGGGCTCCAAAAATCCCCCTTGAGAGAATCAAGGACTCTTGACTGGACCCTGCGCGTTTTCTTGGAGCTTCTATTCTTCGTGGAATGTTCGTATATGTGGTCCTGGACTACTGTTTCAGGAAACGCCTGGAGTGAAGTGGAGTCTTCTTGGCGCACGGCTGTCTCAACTCTGAGCTGGGGAATCTGTGTTTGGAAGGTTTGGGGTTCCATGGGGGGAGCTGCCTGGGGCCATGTTGGGGCCCCTCGGGGCTGCCGACGACGACGCCGACCACGACGACGACGGCGAGGACGACAACGAGCGACGACGACGACGACAATCGACGCCGACGAGGAACGACGACGACGAACGAGGACGACGATTACGACGACGAGATGACGAAGGATCGAAGATCGAACCTCGAAGTGCGAAGCTTCGCCCATTAACTCCTGGTTCTGGGCCGGTCCTGGGAGCTCCCTGGGAGCTCCCCTGGGGCGATGCCGGGGGCCGTCTCGAGAGCGAGCCTGCGGGCCACGCCCCGGAGCCTCCCGGGACTGGCGGGGAGCTTCTCTCCAGAGTTTCCTCCGAGTTTTCCGGGCTTCGCCGGAGTATGGTTCGTCCAGGGGCTCAGAGGTCGCCCTGTGCGCGAATATTATATATAAATAAATAAATAAATAAATATATATATAGAGACAAATATCCGTAAGGGCTTCGCCCCCATGCCGACGGCCCCCCTCTCTTAGGATGGGACTTACTAGAGCTGTGTTGGGATGTCTGGACGCTGACGTGAAGCAACATCGGGACTTCACGCGAGGGCCAATATTCATTTACGAGGGTTTATGGTTTCGGTGGCCTGACTATGAGCGATTTTGCGATGGTTGGTGGCTTTTGGGACGCGAATGTTGCACAATGTATGAAGGTTTGTGGCCTCGTGGAAGCTAATATTGCATAATGTACAAGGGCTTATGTCCTCGGGGGCGTAGTACATTGTGCAATTCACAGGGATGTATGGCCTCGGGGACGCGAATCTGGTACACGTGGCGAGTGTTTATGGCCTCGGGGACGCAAGTATGATATAATTTGTCAATGTTTATTGCCTTCGGGACGCGGATATGGTATAAGTTTCAAAGGTTTATGCTTTCGGGGGCGCGAAGATTGCATACGCTACAAAGGATTATGGCTTCGGGGGCGCGAATCTCGTGTAATGTACAAAGGTTTATGGCCTCGGGGACGCGAATATTGTGTAACTTACTTGGGGTTATGGCCTCGGGGGCACAAACCTAATGTATTTTTACATGTCCCACGCCCCCCCAAAGAAATTAGACAACGCGATTTGGGGACGCTAGCCAGGACGCTGATCGGCTCCCCCCCCTCGCGCGTTCAGCAACAATTAATAGCAAGGAAGCAGGAAGCAGGACTGTAACATCGGAAGCTGGAAACTGCAACTGGTACAGGGAGCTGCACGCCTAGTCTTCGCAGCCTGGTGGCCCCGCAAGGGGGCCAGCGGATATGTATGTATGTATGTATGTATGGATGTAGGTATGGATGCATGCATGCATGCATGCATGCATGTATGTATGTATGTATGTATGTATATATGTATGTATGTATATAAACATAGACGATGTACAATATGTTAAGGACCGCTGCGCGTCGCCTTCTAATCTTGATCCTTGCACCTGCATGTTTTTGTGCCTCTGCGGTTGGCAGATTGATCTAGCCGCAGTGTCGCTACGACCCATTCCCGAACCTGACGTTGGGGGGGCTAACCTGTCGCAGCCCCGATTGGCAACAGACCCGACGCGTTCCCTCCAAACCGAACGCCAGGTTCGGCAGTCGCCCAGCACGAGGGGACGGCAGCTGCGGTCGCCAGTTGTCTTGTGCGGGAGGTGGCGCTCGCAGAAGACGGCTGTAGCCTAGGCTCAAACGAGAGTACCAGTCTCACACACGGGTGCGGCCGGCGTTGGGGCGGTAGCACGAATCTTGGAAATGGATGTGGCTGGCGCTTGGGCGGAACACCATTCTCCCATGAGGGCTGTGGGAACCGTGCGAGTGAAGCGGCATCACAATAGTCAATGAGGGTGAGTGCCGCGTTCCACGAAGGATGTGGCCAGCACGCAGACGGCAGCATGACTCCCAGGCAGGGATGTGGGCAGCGCTCGGGCGAGAGCGCCAATCCCATCCAGGAATGGGGCGTGTGCGCGACCCGCAGCATCATCTGCAATGAGGGCTGTGGCCGGCTCTGAGGCGACAGCACCGCTCGTATGGGAGAGCGTGGTCAGAGCTGGGGTGGCTGCGCCTATCTTGGATCCGGATGCGGCCACAGATGGGCGAGAGCACCATTGCGGAAGTCTTGCAAACCGCGCGAGCGAAGCGAAGGATGAGGTGAAGGAGGCGGAGGAGGAGGAGGATCAAGGAGAGGAGGTGAAGGAGGAGGAGGAGGAGGAGGAGGAGGAGGAGGGGAGGAGGAGAAATGGGCAGTGGGAAAGCTGAGAAAAAGTGCAAGCGATGATCCTGCGGCCCCGTAGGAAGGCAGGGTTCACCCCACTTGCGGGTCCAGTGTCAAAAGTTCGCACGGCGTCGTTCCGCCCGTCTCGGCACACTCATCACACGGATCGTGTCCCGGAGGGATGTAGTTCACGTGCGGCTGCATTCCGAGGATTCGCGTAACGTCATCTCCCCCCGCGTATGTCGATTGTCTCCTCACACGGATCGTACCCCACAGGGGGTTGCACGGACGGCCCCAGAGCCAAGATTCTCATCCCGCCGCCTCGCCCATGCCGGCAAACCTCTGACCTGGATCGTGAGTCTGGGGCGTTTGTAGTGCTTCTCGGGGCCTGGCGGCGTTTGTTTGTGGGGCCTCTTGAAGCCCTGAGATGAGTCGCGAATCGGGAGCCTCTTGGAGCCTTGGGGAGCTTCCTGCTGGGGGTCTTTTAGAAGCATTCTGAAAACTCTGGGGGCCTCTTGGGGTTTCTTTCGAGGCTCTTTTGGGCCGGATGTGGGCCCTCTTGGGCTGTCCTCAGGCCCTCTTGGGCCGTCCTGGGGGGCTGGGGCCGTCTTGGAGCCCTTTGGGGGCTCCCTTCGGCCGTCCAGGGGGCCTTCTATGGCCCTCTTGATGCTCCCTTGGGGGCCCTGTGGGACCCTCTGGGGCTCTCTTGATGCTCCCTTGGCCGCCTTGGGGCTCTCTTGGGCCAACTCGGAGCCCTCTTCGGCCGTCTTGGAACTCTCTTGGGGGCCTCTTGGGCCATTAGGTGCCCCGTGGGGCTATCTTGGACGCGCCCCTGGGCGTCTGTGGGGCGCGCTGCACGCCGCCTTGGAGCTAACTTGGGCGTCTGGGGGCTCTGTTGAGCCGTTTCGGGGCCGTCTGAAGCCTCTTGGGCCGTCTTGGGGGGATCTCGGAAGCCTCTTGGGCCGTCGTGGGATGCATGCTGTCCGGAATGACGAGGACGTCAAAATCTGTCAAAAGCCTTGGGAACAGCTGGGATTGTTGCATATCGCGGCGCTCTTTGGAGTCTTGTGGGCTCGTTTGGGGCCGTTTGGGAGCAGTCCTCGGGGGTTTTGGGCCGTCGGCCAGCCATGAACAGCGTTTCAGCCGATCGTTCGGCGCGCGGGTGGCTGGTTGGGAAAGCTTGGAAGTCCGTTCGAAAGGTGCCCCGGGGCCAAGGAGGACCGTCGAAAAAGGTATGGTGTGTATGTGTGTGTGTGTGTGTTTGTGTGTGGGGGCCATCCGGGGGAGGTTTTTCAATGCAGGATGCAGAATGAGAGGAATAGATTACATAAAGCTCTTTCCAGAGATCTTTCCCACGCCCCTGGCCCATTGGGCCAGCGAGTTTGCCAGCTATCTGTACAGTCAGGTTTTCGCCTCGCGCTGGTACTCCCACGGGAGCTCTTGCCGGGCTTTCACGGCCTCGACCTTTGCCGCTTGTGCATATATTATGGCGTCGTAGACGCGCACTGCGCTCGTTCCCGAGAGGATCCCATCGTTTTTTTGTCGGCCTCGCACTTGCCGCCGGTGGGTTCTGGTACAGGGGACCCCTTTCGGTCTCAGAACGGGCGCGATCTATTTGATGCGTTCAGCGCGACTTTGCACAGAAGTTGTGGCGCATCATTGTGCAGGCATCATGAGATGGCGGTTGCTACCCTTCTGTGATCTGCCAACTCCAATGCACCTTTGCCGACGGATTCAGCGTGATCTCGCGACAGGAGAGTCGAGTTACAGGATCGGCTGAGCGGTACCACTCCCTCGCCCTGAGAAGTCTCGCGAGTTTTTGCGTTCGACCCCGAGTGTGATCTCGCTGCCGCATCGTTGGCACCGTCGCGCAAGATAATAGCTTCCTTCTCCTCGCCATCGCACTGCGCAAGGACACCGGCGCGCTTGTCGCCAGCAACCTCCTGGCAACGAAGGACTGGCATGTGCTCGCTGCGCAGCCGGACAGGGCGTCGAAGAAGCCGAGTGTGTCGGAGTTGCGGCGGATCTCGAGGCGGTCGAGGTTCGAGGAGACCAAGCATGTTGAGGATGATCAGGTGGAGTAGGAGCAGCAAAAGTTGGAGGATGAGGAGGAGGAGAAGGATGTAGGAGAGGAGGAGCAGGATGAGGTCGAGGAGGAGGACGAGGAGGAGGAGGAGGAGGAGGAGGAGGAGGATTGGATCGGCCAGTCCGTGGAGGCCAGGTCAAGCCTGTGCGCAATCATCGCTCTTGGGAGGCAGCCCTCTCGGCAAGCGTCAGCTCCCTTCCTTCGCAGCTTTGGTGGGTGGACGGAACGGGAGCCTCATCTGCCGTGCATTAGGGGAGGCATGTTTTCCACAGGCAGCATGAGGAGCAGCAGCAGCAGCAGCAGCAGCAGTAGGATGATGATGATGATGATGATGATGATGATGATGATGATGATGATGATGATGATGATGATGATGATGATGATGATGATGATGATGATGATGATGATGATGATGATGATGATGATGATGATGATGATGCTGCTGCTGCTGCTGCTGCTGCTGGCTGCTGCTGCTGCTGCTGATGATGATGATGATGATGATGATGATGATGATGATGATGATGATGATGATGATGATGATGATGATGATGATGATGATGATGATGATGATGATGATGATGAGGATGAGGAGGAGGAGGAGGAGGAGGAGGAGGAGGAAGAGACGGGGGACGAGGGGGGAGGGGGTGAGGAGGAGGAGGAGGAGGAGGAGGAGGAGGAGGAGGAGGAGGAGGAGAAGGAGAGAAGGAGGAGAAGGAGGAGGAGTAGGAGGAAGTTGGAGGACGAGGAGGGAGGGGAGGCACCCATACGAGAGGAAAGCCGACTTGGGTGTGCTGGCCCGCAGGCCCTTTGCGGTGGAGGGGGGAGGCGCTACAGGAAGGAAGCAATACGTACCACCCCGCAGTTGCGGATACGAGTGAGGGGGCGGCGAGGACGTCGGCAGTCTGCGAGGCTCAAAGGAAGCCCGCCGCAGGCGCCTAACGTTTTACAAATTATGCAGTGAGCCCGCTGGAGGAGCCGATTTTTCCTTAGAGCAATGTTGGTGGGTCGCAGGGTGGGTCGCAGGTCGGTCGCGGGTGGGCCGCCGGCCGGGTCGCGTGTGGGTCGCGGGTGAGTCGCGGAAGGGTCGTGGGTGGGTCGCGGGCGGAGCGCGGGGTTGGTCGCGGGTGGGTCGCGCGTGGGTTGGTTGCGGGGTGGATCGCGGGTAGGTCGCGGGTGGGTCGTTGGTGGGTCGCGGGTGGGTCGCGCTCCGGGTCGCGGGGAGGACGACGACAACAAACAACAACCACAACAACACCAACAACAACACCAACAACAATAATCATTTGACCCTCATGCGCGATGTTTCCACACGAAGCATGCGACCACCATGATCACCATCTACATCATGGGGGACTCTTGTTCTATAGCGGGGTCCGTTATTCCCATTCCCAGATATCCCACCCAATGATGTCTTGACCTCCGGGGAGTTTCAACATATCCCGCCTCGAAAACACATGCCCGCGCCTTGCTGCGACGATGTGAGAACGCTGGTGGATTGCCTTGTTGGGGATGGAGGATGTCGGCAGTGAGGCAAGGACTTGGCCCTGAATAGGAAGGGAGGAAGTCTCGAGCAGGGCTGCTGTTGTTGTTGGGAGCGGCACCAATGCTGAAGAGAGTAGGGCGCTAGTCCAGCGTAAAACAAAACGAAGTCTCGAGCGGGAACGCTGGTTTTGTTGGGACAGCGGCTTTCGGCGGCGAGGAGGAACACCGCCTTGAGTAAGAAAGGAGGAAGCATCGAGCGGGAGCCGTGGTTTTGTCGGGAGGGGGTCTGTCGGTGGCGAGGAACAGCACCATCCCGAGGAAAGACAGAGGAAAACTCGAGCGGGAGCGTTGTTTTTGCTGGGAGCGGCGCCACTTCAAAAGAGAGTAGTGCGCCAGTCCAGCGTAAAACGGAAGGATGTCTCGGGCGGGAGCGCTGGTTACGTCGGGGCGGCGGTTTTCGGCGGCGACGAGGAGCACCGCCTTGAGTAAACAAGGGAGGAAACCTCGAGCGGAAGGGTTGTTTTTGTTGGGAGCGGAGCCGATGAGAGAAAGACTAGCGCGCCAGTCCAAGGTAAAACAGGAGGACGTCTCGAGCGGGAGCGCTGTTTTTTTTAGGACGGCGGCTTTGAGCGGCGATCAAGAGCACCAGCCCTGGGTAAAAAAGGAGGACGTCTCGAGCGGGAGCGTTGTTGTTGTTGGGGGGCTGGTTTTGGCGGTCCCCCAAACCGCTCGAGCGTGAGCCTCATTTTGAATGAACATGTAGCTAGCGCCTCGGCGAGAGCGCAAGAGCGCCTATAAGGTGTCCAACACTGATAAATGTTTATTACGTACCATTCAACACCACCAACAACAGCACCATCAACAACAACAACAGCAGCAACAACAACAACAACGGCCACCACAGAAATAATGTTAATAGCAACAAACATTCCACCATCACCACCACCAACAACAGCAACAACAACAATCCGCACCGCATAACCTCACTCCAGCCACGCGCCCAGGGACAGTGAATGACCGTTCGGCCCCCTCACTCTAAGTTAGGAAGAGGAGTGGACTGAAAGTGATGAGGAGGACGGGGAAGAGCACGGTGAGGAGGAGGAGGAGGAGGGCAGAGAGGAGAAGCAGGAGGATAAGGAAGAGGAGGAGGAGGAGGATCAGCGAGCGCGGCATGAGGATGAGCAGGATCATGTCCCTGACGTTGCCCCTTCGCGCCAACCGAGGAAGAGGATCCAGGCCAGAAGGTCTCGCCGCACTCCTCTTGCTCTCGGAGGGCCACCGGGCCACATGGGGACGTCCCCGGCGCCGCGGCCGGGGTCGGTTCCAAACACCGATCAGGCTGGTGGCGTTCAGGCTCTGCTTGGATGGGCGCGGGGGTTGCTAATGGGATGAAGGAGGTACACGCTAGTCGTTGAAAGTCGGTGTTTTTGGATCCTCATATCCCAATCTACCTGTGGTGCCTTCCTGTTTCAAGGATCGACTGGTTTCCTTCTTCCCTCCTCTTCAGGGGGCGGGCGGAAGCTCAATGCCCTTCCAACGCCTTCCTACTTCATCTTTCTTTCTACTCATCTATTATGACCAACATGTATCAGAATATACCAAGGTGTTTTACATCTGGACTAACCTAGCTCACAAGTGGGCTACAAGTGCCGGAAGTGGCTCAGGGGGGGGAACGATCCCCAGTTATCTACCCCCTGCTTACAAGAGTTATCTACCCCAAGCCATTTCAGGCACTTGCAGCCCACTTACAAGCTAGGTTAGGCCAGGTATTTCCCACCTGGTCATCTACTCATGATCCTCCTATCCCCTTCACAACCCCCGCGCCCATCAAAGTAAATCCTGCTTCCGCTCCCCCTCCTCCTCCGTCCTCCCGTTCTTCATTTTCCTCTTTCTGACCCCTCCTTCCTGCCGCTCCGTCCCCTTCTCTCCTCCTCCTCCTCCTCCTCGTCTCCCCCCCCTCCTCCTGCTCATTCTCCTTCCTCTTCCTCTCCCGCTCCTCCTCCTCCTCTTCCTCCTCCTCTTCCTCCTCCTCCTCCTCCTCCTCTTCCTCTCCCGCTCCTCCTCCTCCTCCTGCTCCTCCTCCTCCTCTTCGTCCTCCTCCTCCTCCTCCTCCTCCTCCTCTTCCTCCTCCTCCTCCTGCTCCCTCTTTCTCTGGAGGGGGGGCCAGTCGAGAACGGCGGCGCTGCCGCCCGGCTCCCATCCGCTCCAGCTCGGTCACCGGGCCCCGCCCCGAGAGTCCCGCGGGACCCGCCCCTCGAGGCGGACCGCGGCCGCGTCGGCGAGGAGCCCCCCCGGAGGCCCTGAGGAGGGAGGCCGGAGAGAGCGCCAGGGAGCGCCGCCGTGGTCCCGACTGGCCCCCTGCGGCCTCTCTGTCCTGGCCGCTTGGCGCGACCCAGACCCCCTCGAGTCATGAAAAAATCACGACGGGAGGTTTTTCGCTATTTTCGGCCTCCAGGGGCCCTTACCGGCCCTGAGGACCGTCAAAAAACGACTCAGGATGAAAAGCCGGTCCTGGGGAAGGGGTCCGGACCTCTGGGGGTCGCGTCATGAAAAAATCATGACGTCGGGGGTCTGGGGAGCGAGGAGTACCCAGAGCCCCTCGCGGTGGGAGCACAAATCGCGACGGGAGGCTTTTCCATTTTGGTCGGCCTCCAGGGGCACTTCCTGGGCCCTTGGGATGGTCACAGAGCGACCCGGGAGGAAAAGCCGGTCCACGCAGGAAGGGGTTCAGACTTCTGAGGGGCACGCCATGGAAAAGTCACGACGTCGGGGGTCTTGGGAGCGAGGCCTCCCAGATGGGGCCCGAGCAGACGGGTCGGAGGATCGCGCCGCATCGCCGATGCGCCCGCGGTGCATCTGCGATGCAGCGGCGGTGCATCGGCGATGCATCGGGGACGTGGGTGGTGCATTGGCGACGCCAGCACAGAGCAAGTCAGACTCCGCATCGACCCGCATCGGCGATGCATCGGCGATGCGGCGCGATCCTCCAGCCCCATCTACTCGGACCCCATCTGAGAGGCCCGATTGGACCATCGGGCGCCCGTCCAATGCTCGTCGACTGCTTGGCTGGCGATCCTTGAATGTGAACGCCCGACATGGTAAAAGAAACGACAGATATCGATGGGCTTGATGCCCAACAGCACATGTTGTCGGGCAGTCGAGTGCGCATCCTGTAGGAGGCCCGGTCGCGACGAGGGCCGCCCGCAGAACTCGCTCGCTGGCCCTCGGGCACGCCCGGGCATCTAGGCTTCCCTGGCCATCTGATCTCGAGCGCGCTCTCTTCTGAACTTACCAGCCTCGAACTTATGCCCATCCCTGAGATTGACACGCCAAAAGGCGATGACAGTCTTAGGGATGCACCCTCAGAAACTGAGGGAATCCCTAAGATCGCCATGGTGACGAGGCGATGCCCAACATAGGGATAGGAATAGGGATAGGTTCCAGGCTGGTAGTGAACATCCGGTCCGAGCGAGGAGCTGAACCGCCCTCGACCTGCACCGTCCGCACCTTCTGCGCGCCAGGCGCCGCGCTGCCGCCAGCCGCCTCGCGGATCCGCACCCTCCGCGCGGAAGGTGCGGAAGTCGGGTATATGGCCAGGACCCCAGGTAAGGATACCCGGTTAGTGGTAGGGCCCCGGAGCCTTCGAATTGGCCAGAATCACTAAACCAGGTTTGCCATAGCTGGTGTTTTTTCGGGTGACGGCAGTTCCGGTTAGTGGAAATGGGACGGGGGGGGCGCCCCCGGTACAGATCACTAAACCAGGTTCCACTAAACCCAGTTCTACCAACGCCCGAGGAAGGCGTAGCTCGAGGGGGTGCCCGGGGATCCAGCCCCCCGGCGTCGTGATTTTTCCGTGACGTGCCCCTCAGAAGTCCCCAGACGCCCTCGAGCAATGACAAAAATCGCGACGGGAAGTTTTTTCGCCATGTTCGGCCTCCGGGGGCCCTTACAGGGCTTCGGGACCGTCAACGAAAATGACTGAGGATGAAAAAACCGGTCCCAGGGAATAGGTTGTGGGTCGACGTCAAGAAAAAGTCATGACGTCGGGGGTCTGGGTCTGGACTTCTTCCCGGGGGCCGGCTGAACCCCTGGGGTTGTTTTTTGACGGTCCCGAGCCCCTGGGCAGGGCCCCTGGAGCCCTGCAGGAGGCCGAACATAGCGAGAAGTTTCCCGCCGATGTTCATGTCATTCTTTTTCTTCGGCGCGAGGGCGCCCGGGGGCGTCTCGAGCGTCCGGAGCGTCGAGGGCGCCCAGGGGGCCTCCTCCCGCACATCTCGAGCGTCCGGGGCGTCGAGGGCGTCCGGGGCATCGAGGGCGCCCAGGGTCCTCCTCCTCTGTCGGGGGCCTAGAGGTTGACACCAACACCAAGATCGGCGGTGTTCCTCCACCGAGGGAAGAGGATCCCGATCTCGGTGATGGTGGTAATATTCTGGCTTCCAAAGTGACCGAAATATTACCACCAACACCGAAATCGAGGATCATCTTCCCCCTGTGGAGGCAACCCCCTGTGTTGGTGTTGGTGCCAATTTCCGGGCCTCCCACTCTGCTCGTCCACGTGCAGAAGTGGGGTACGATGGAGGCCCATGCCAAGAAACACCCTGCTTGCCTCCCGGGTGCCCTGGGTGTCTTGGGTCTCGATGGGTCTGCGATGGGGAGCGCGACGTTCCCACACCAGCAAAAACACTGGACGTCCTGGGGTCTCAGGGTTGGGTTTCTTCTGGAAGGTTTCTTGTGGTCGAGCCCCTACTGTAGGGGGAGGTGGGGAGGCTTCTTAGCAGAACCCTGCTGCTCAGAAGGCGCGGGCCTTGCTTGCAGATGTGAGGCCGACGCCTTCTAAGAAACAGCCTGCTTCTAATAAGCCTTCCCCCCTCCCCCTGCCCCCCTCTGCACGCCGCCAATCTGCCAAGGCCATTCGGGCTCGAGCGCGTTCTCTTCTCCCTGAGATCCGACGTTGCAACAAAACTGCAACATCGCGAAAAGTCACGCCCGGAGCCCCGCACCCCGTCTTCCTGCGTCATTTTTCGTGCCGAAGGAAAGGCGACAGCGCTCGGCTCGAAGCAATTGAGCCGCCAGAAATATCTAAGGGATCTGCCTCGGCCCTTTGGGCTCGAGCGCGTGCTCGGCGGCACGTCCGCTCCCGCGCGAGGGGGGGCGCTGCGCAGGGGGGCCCCCTCTCGAGGGAAGAAGTCCGGGGACCATGACCGAGCTGTAGCCGGAGCGTGTCGGTGCCGACCTCGGTCATGGCCCACGTCGGCCGTCGCCGATTCGCGAGGGCGTTCCGCGGCTCGACGCGGGCCAAGGTCGATGCCGACCAAGACGAGCACGGCACCTCTGCGTTCGGTCGTGGTCGTGGTCCCCGTTCTGTTTCCCTCCCTCCCTCCGCAGCGGGCGGGCGTGCCCGGGCGGGCCCCCCCGCAGCGCGGCAGCATGGCGGCCAGCGGCGCGGCCGGCGGCCCCGCGGAGGCCGCCGCCGCAGCGGCCACGGGCCCCGAGGTCCGGGCGCTGCAACTTTTCCGCGCCAGGCGTCATCGCGTCTTCGCTTGTGATCTCTAGGCTTCGGTCGGGCATGTCCTTCTACAGGGGTTTTCGACGAAAGATAAAACAAATACCCCCAAAATACCCCAAAAAGGTAAACAAATACCCCCCAAAATAATCCCCAGGCTATGTTTGTATTATTTTTTGTTTGTTTTGGGGGTATTTTGGTTCGTCGGAAATCCCCCTGTAGGGGGACAGGCCCGACTTAACTCTAGGCTTCAGTAGGGCATGTCCTTCTACAGGAGGACTGTTCAAACACGGTGCAGAAAAGGAGTAAGGATCGCGCCGCATCGCCGATACATCGGCGATGCGGCGCGATGTGAAGCCTGATTCTACCCGTGCTGGCGTCGACGATGCACCGCCGATGCGCCGACGATAAGATACATACATCGCCGATGCATCGTCAATGCATCGGAGATGCGGCGAGATCCTCCGATCCCATCCGCTCGGACCCCATCTAGGTGGCCTCTACCAAGGGCCCTGAGATCTGGGCGTTGCATTTTTTGCGCACCGGACGTTTTCGCTTGTCTTCGGGCCCAGGGACCCTCACATATCGATGCGGCACGAAAAGGGGCGTATACAAGACAGGGTCCAGAGCTCCGGTCGCGATTTTTCACGATGTTGATATTTTTGGTGAGTGCCCAGGCCCGCGGTTCGGGGGGGCGGATCAAGCAGTGGCGGGGCGTCCTGGCTTGCCTCTGGGCCTGCCGAAGGGTCTTTTGAGGGCCTTGTGTGGCTTGCACGAGATCTTCTTGTTTCAGTGCATCGGCTTTGTGTTCTAAGAACGTTGCTTTCGTTCGTGCAACTTTCTCTTGTTCGAAGAACATGTCGTAGTAGGCCTATTAGGAATACCGGGACGGTCGGTCGCTGTTCTATTGTGGGGACCCTAATAGTAATGCTCTTGGCGACTCCTCCGACTCGGTTCCGATTCGATGCCGATTCCGATGCGGCTTCGGGTTCGGGCTTGGACTGCGGTTTCTCAAGGGATACCGTATTGGCCTGCCGATCTCCGCGGATTTCTCCTTACGTGACTTCGCCCCTTCGGCGGCCGCCAGACGGTGTGGTGAAAACGCAGCCGAGGAGGAGGCACCGATATTGCTACCCTTCCCTCGCTTTCGCCAATTGGGGCCTCCTGGGAGGCCCTCGTCGCATCCGTTGTGTTCACCTCGAAGTTCTGGTCAGAACGCACCCTGGGAACTGTTCGTGGAGAAGCGGTATCAGCATGTGTGTAGGTATTTTGTGTTTCCGCAGTGAAAACATCGTGCGGTGAGTCAGTGGCGATTCGGGTGCACCGCATGGGTTGGGGATGCGGGTCGCTCTCCGAGGATGTCTCGGGCAACTGAAACCTCCGAGGTCCCAAGACCTTGCGGTCAGGGACCGCGTAGTAAGGCCTCTTTGGATGTCGAGCTCGCCGCACGGTCTGTCACGACATAGTTTTTGGACCCGCCGCCTTCGCGCAGTTGGTTCGGAGGAGGACAAGATGCCGATACCTCTGCTCATCTTGGAGAGCCCTCGTCGCCACGGCTGAATCCGCTTCGAAATTACGGTCAGAATGCGCTCCACGAGGGGACTTGAGAGCGAGAAGCGTCGTCATCGTCGTCGTTGTTGTCTTCAAGAGGACGATATACGATCGGAAGAGGAGAGTCTACGGCTACCGATACCCCTCCCTCGACACCACAGTTGGATTCGCTTCGAATTTGAGGGCAGAACGCACAAAGGGAGATGTCGGAGGAATAGCGGTATCGGTGCTTACGGACTTCAGAGCATGCCCATTTTGAGGGCACCCCTGGTCCTGTCCGTCTCCGGCTCATCTGCCCACCCCAGCGTGCGAGCAGTGCCAATGATGGGCACCTTGTTCACACTAGACGCTCTTGCCTTAAGGGTTGCAGGACGGCGCTGTCACGAACGACACCCGTTTCTGACTGTATGCAGCGTCTGCTCTCACCGCGGGCTGAGTCAGCGACGTAGCATGGACCGCCTTCGTAGACGGGAGGAAACAACTCACCACCCCAGTTGGGGATATCTATGCCTCGATTGGGTCGGAGCACTTGGGGTCGGAGGATCGCGCCGCATCGCCGATGCATCGCGGGTGCGGCTCGATGTGGAGCTCGATGTGTTTCACGTCGACGTCGCCGATGCCTCGCCGATGTCGACGATGCATCGCCAGTGCATCGCCGATGCATCGCCGATGCATCGCCGATGTGTCGGCGGTGCGGCGCGATCCACCGACCCCATCTACGTCGACCCCTCGAAACCCGAAGGGAACAGTATATGTCCATATGGGGGGGGGGAAGTCCAAATGAATGTCCATATGGGGGGGGGGAGCCCGCGGGGATAGGGATTGGCTACCCGATTCTCAGTACTTCAACGCTCCCGGATTTCCAGGACTTCCTCCCGTTCCACACGGGCTGCAGACACGAGGGCCGCTGGATGCCCCCGATATTCCGGAGCTTGCCGTGGCCAAGTCGCCTCATGACACCATTTTCGTCCTGCCTGCACGGGTTCTAGGAAGCTCGGAGTGCCAGAGAGAGAGAGTCCGCCGGCACATTGGGCAGATCGGCGCGGGCCGACGCACCCCTCGCGGATCTCTAATAAACTTGTGGAGGACGATCAATGGAGAGGAAGCATGTCGCCAAACAATTGCCAGATGTCGAAAGCATGTTTTAAACATGCTTAAGCATGCTTAAGCATGTTTTAATCATGGTTTAAACATGCTTAGAACATGTTCCTACATCTTAAACATTAAATGATGGGGCTGTTAGGGTGTCCATTGTCGTGGCATCCACAATAGTAAACACAGAGAGGGGCGCTGCGGTTGGCACTGACTTGTGCGGGGGAGGGCGCGCCGAGCTTGGCCCGATCGGGGACCCCCAGTGAGGCCCCAGAACAGTCGTGGTCTCCTCCGCCTCTCGCCTCCTCCGCACGCCGCCCGGGCGTCGAGGATGCTGTGCAACTTCTGTATGCCAGCGCCCATGCTTGTCCAGAT